GGGCGTGTGTAACTGACAATAGGAATCGTTGAATTGAATTTACGCCTTTAGTGGGCCGCCACGCGTCAGAAAATGAGGCCCTCGGTGCCTGACAGTATCGCTCATGCTGTTCACCAGTAGATGTCAGACCTGGACTTCTATTTGATCGTCTGTGTACCGTAACATGATACAACACACAGGCTCAATCTCATGCCCCCCCCCCCGAAACCCTGACTCCTAAAGGACTTAATTGACCTCACCTCCTAAAAGGTGGCTTGTGAAAGTCTGTCACCATGACAACGTCTCAAGGCGACCTCCCCCTCCCCTGTTTGGGAAGTACTGGGTTGGACGAATCCCAATCCATCCGTGGCTTCGGGGAGACCTGGTTTCTCCATCTTGTCATGAGAACCAAGCTATTCTGACAACATGTGATATTTGTGTCTACTGGCGTTTAAACGTGGGAGTAAAACACTGGATACTGGTTGGTCTCGCGGGGCCCCGTGTGTGTCCAACTTTATTCTTACCCTGTTTCACAACATGGAGCATCTTCTCTGCATTGTCTCAAAGTTGGACGACGACTGGCGAGCGCTTCCTCTAATTTGAAAAGCAAGAAAATTAAGAAAATAATCGTCCTTATGCAGTGATATTGACAAAATATATTAAAGCATGATACACAGAAAAATCTTTGCCTGCGTTCTGTGCCTGGGAACACAGAACTTAAATCACAGTTATTTAGTGACCTAGTACATTCATGCATTCCAACGACAATAATAAATCGTCAATATCTCATCTGTAGTTAAACGTATGATTTGTTAATAGAATCATTACAGGATGATGGTCTGTAACAACGTTTTCCATTCTGTACTGCTACTACTAATGTTATCCTATGATCTGGTTCCATCATTAAGATGCTGTATGAGATGTACCGTGCACACTCGGCAGCCTATCACTAAGTTTAAGAGAAAATAACAACTTTTACGTTATGTACAACAATATCTACAGCTGTTACTCAAATCGCATTATTTCCCATTCATTTAAATGTTTCCCTCCGTTGTCACAAACACCAATCAGAGAGTCTCTCAAACTCAGCCATTGTTAAAATGTTTAGACAATAAATGGGAAAATTGTGTTGGAACAATCATAAACAATTATACAAACAAAACAGCATGCATGGAAAACCCACAGAACATACATGTTCTATACATGTTAAAACAGAAAGAATCACAGAGAGCCTAGAAAATATCTATGGAGTGTTTAAAATGCAGGCAGAAAAATCACACAGCCCTAATAATTGGAAAAAACATGTTAGAATAATTTCACAATGGAGGCAGGGAAGGCACCGTTTGAATGTAAATACAAAATGGGAGGCGGGAAATACAAAAACTGAGTTATGTGTTACAGCACATGTTCTTTACCCCCCATCTGCAGGCCGTGTGTGTCTTCGTTCTCACAGCCTCTGGCATTAAGAATTTCTCTTATTCTCTTTCAGCCGTCTTTTAACCGTATTCTCTATTCACCTCCTTTACGCCATGAAGAAGAACATAGAGGAGGCCGTTTTCTTCCTGTTCACTGTGGTTCTGTGCCCGTTCATTTTGCCTCCATTCCAACGATCAACATACCAGGTTAAGTTGTTCTTTTTTCAGATTTTACTGGAGCCTATAATCACATTACATGCAACAACATGGCGGACCATGTCGGATTCTTGAGTGAACGTCTCTCCGCCATGTTGGATTTTTTGAGGGGGTTAGGGTTAGTATTCTATTCTCACAATTTAACATTAATTTCTCGTTGAAAATGCAATTATAACACGTTTATTTTACATGGTTAGACTTCAAGAAGTGTGTTTACGGGGCGCAGGTCCCCGTTCACTTTGAATAGGGTGACGTCATCAGTCGCAGTCCGTATTTATTTAGTATGTATCACTACGAATTTGTATGTTCAAGATTTTCGTATACATTTTTACGAACAGGTTTTGGAGATCACGTTGGTCGCCCATATAGGATGACACCATTACCCACAGTGACACCTGAGAGGAACACAAGAATCACCTGAAGGCAGAAAAGTAACCACCTCAAGGTACCAGTTTGCAGAGACAGTTATTGAATATCTCGGCTTTATTATCAGCAAAGTGAGTGTTAAACCCCAGACTTACAAGCTCAAAAGTCTTTCAGTCGTGCTTTCCATATTTTACTCTCGTGCTGCCGTTCTCACAGAAATATGATGTAATTTAATGTAAAATATGCTCCCTAGCTGCAGGGGGTTTGTGTTTTGCATCCTCCTGGAAAAAAAACGTCACAGCTCCCTGGTTAGACTGTACAATTCTATTTTTCTTATTTAACCATTGCTTAATGCAGCTGGAACTGTCGATGGGGGGGGGGGGGGACCCATCTAAATGTCGTCCAGTAAATTAAGAATAACAAATGTCTGTCAATATGACAGCGGATTAACATCCGGACCTGGAGGCGGACCCTGCGTACCTGTCGCGTAGCTGACTTCGTCTTTCACCCCTGCTGGCATCTGTGCACGGCGCTGAGTCACTGCGGAATCAAACCAGCGGCCACCTGTTGAACCGCCGCAGACTCACGGACCAGAACGCGCACCAACGGAGACAAGTTCTGCGGGCAATTGTTGTCTTTTAGACTTTAAACTCAAAATAACTAAGAAAATTTACCGTCCGTTAAGGTAAGACAAAACTAAAATATTACAGTAACGGAAATTCAATAACTTTATTTTGATAAATAATCAATCCTAAAAATAAAAGATAAATTGGTTAAAGACGAGCTGATTTGTCTTTCCAATGCAAGACTGCTTTGCGCTTTTGATGACTATATTTTCAAACAATCTATTTGACAGTTTGTGAGAGTTTTCCCTTATTTGCGAATGGACACAGTGGTGACAATCTCAGTCTGAGTGTAACTTACAACGCTCGAGGTATCATTTCAGTCATAACGATGAATTAAACTAGAGACCCAACGAGCTACTTTTAATATCCACCCATCAAGTTTCCAGTGGTCGGTAATCAACACTCAATAATGTGTGGAGAGCAGGAATTCAAGCTGCGCACATTCACAGGTCGATTTGGATTTCCACAATGGAAAACAACGTTTATACTATTTTTATTTTTATAAATTGTATATAAATGGCTGCAGACGATATTTAATTTGCCAGAACAATCTTTAATGAATTCAAAATCGAAATCGAAATCGCAGTGGTGGCAGGTATCTTATTCTCTCGGTGAATATTGGAGTTGCGCCGGATTGTCCAATCAGGTGTCTGTGCGTCGGGTCGCGCGCCTTTGACTCCGCGTCATGCCTCTCTGACGTTCCTTGATTAAAGAGCTCCGAGCTGTCAAACAAAGCCGGTTGGCACCGAGAAGAAGGGAACTGTGAGCCGTCAGGACTTCGACTCGGGTGCAGAGCAATAAGGCAACGTAAAACTTCTTTCCAGGTTTGGAACCTTCTACTTGCAGAAAAAAAGTAACGTGAAACAAAAGGCACAGGCGGACTTCACACGCTCTGGTAGAAATGCAAAAAAAGGAAAAGGGCCTGGCAAAGAAGTAACACAACAAGATAACAACAAACCAACACTTGGAATACCAGAATACAAAACATGCAACTCGGGAAGGGACAAAAGATACTCTGACACAGACAAGAGGGGGACTGAGGCGTAAATACAGGTGGAGGTAATTGCAAACCAAACTCAGCTGTGGGGAGAAACGAAGGGCGAGGAACTAAATACAAGAAATGCACTGGTTACAGAAATAAAAACAGGAAGTTAATCTTCACAGTCCCTGCGAGTCGTCACAGGAACATTGTGGACACAGCCTCAGACTTAACTAATAAAGCACAATACTTCATGTTAACGTGAAGTAAAAAATGGATACAATTGGAATTAAAACACCACACATTGATTGAACCCAAAGGTGTAACCATGGTTTAGACATTGGGGGGCGCGGACACTACGGCCGACGGGGTGTGGGGGCGAAAACTACTATTTTCTCAATATTGGGGGGGGACACGACCCCCCCCCAAAGGATGCGTGGTTGATTGAACCTATTCCGCCACTGACCATAATCCTTGTGTGTTTCGCCACAGGCTTCATCTACAGATTTGAGCGGCTTCCCATTCGGCCTCACACGTCCAAGATGAAAACAATTGTTCGCCTGCTCATTTTCTTTCTGAGTGTTTCTGGCATCTGTGTTTTTTTGGGAGAAGTCTCCCGATACGTTCCGCCTCAGGAACAAAGATCCTGTGCTTGTGACCGATGTCTATTTGAAAATGATACGTTGGCCATTGAGGGTTTGAGGAAGTTTCCACAACCACTTTTATCCAGGAACTACAGTCTGCCAGAAGAGGATTACAACTGGTGGAAGGTACATTTTGATGCATTTGGGGGGGTGGCCGAGTACGGGCACCTGGTGGTTTGGGTATTGGGACATAGTGAGCCCCATCTTTCAAAGCAACAGTAAAACATGTTCAGCTTTTTTGCCACGTGGAGCTCATTGTTGTAGTGGGAGGATTGGGGATTCTCTCAGCTGTGTCCTTCCTTGTGCTCCACACCGGTCTGGGACCACTAGTGGTTAAGTTATAAAACAGCAGTTTTGGACGGACATGGAGATGCACACTCACTCTGTCAGTACCGGCGCACGCGGCGTACAATCAGCCAACCGAGGGCATCATCCTCCTGGAAGTATTAAAAGATTAAATTAACCGTCATTTGTTCGAGGACTAATTTGTCAATTTAGTTCATGAAGCAATATATACATTCATGCATTTCACAATATAATCAAGGAATTTCAAAAATATTTCTTACTCTAAATAGTACTGCCAATCTGTGTAGTTTGTATGACTCACGTGGTCTAACGACTAGTAATGTTTGGTGCTCCTGACAGCGCCTACAGCCTGAAGGACGTAACATCAGTGACTACAGAAAAAACATGGAAAGGGTTTTTCAGCTGATCCCAGACAACCCTCCTCTTGAAGCATCCAGCCCCGGCCGCTGCAGGACTTGTGCTGTGGTGGGAAACTCTCGTAATTTGTTAAAATCGCATTACGGACTTTTCATCGATTTTCAGGACTACGTCATAAGGTAAATGAGCCGAAACAGATATGAATGATGTTTTTCAGTGTCCAAATTTCTTGCATTGACTTGTGAAATACATCCCTTTGTACTATTTAGAATTAACAGGGGTCATTCCAAAGGCTTTGAATCCGATGTCGGGAACAGAACAACTCATCATGTCATGTACCTGGAGAGTGCTTCTCAGATAGATAACACCACTCATCCGGTGCTGTTTACCTTTAAGATACGAGATCTTGAATGGATTACGAGGGTCCTCAGCACACAACCTTCTGGAAAGTGAGTCATGTTTTTCATTTCAGCTCTATGCTACGGTTTGTCTTCTGAAGCTGATGTTCCAGCCTGCTAAAGTCCACCAGCGGTACTGAGGGAGGAGTTGTGTTTCATTTGTGGTGAACAGTAAATCAGTAACATTCAGGGCCACATAACATGTCACTATTATCCAACCCACCGTTGTCATGACCTTTAATCTGATTGAACAGAGCACTATGAAACCTAGTGATTGTACAGCATAAAGCTACTCAACCCTCTTTGAATTGTATAGTATTAAGTTGTTAGTTTGTAGAGGTTTTGCATGGATTACTTCTCTAACGAGGCCGCCAACTCCAAACATGGCAGCGGGTTCATTTTAATAAATGCTACTAGCTTTGTATATTCCTCTGCATTCCCACCACCACGTTAGAGGAAATAAGCACGAGTGAAGACGGCCTCTGTTCACTTACAGGTACAAATACGCCACAAGCGTCCCTCACAACTGACCATCCGTTGGGAAAACCACTTGCTCCTGATACTAAGTAATATTTGCATAATAAAGCCTGTGCATGAAAAATCTTGCAGCATAATTTACATGAAATTCAAAAACGGAGTGCTGGTGGTAGTTTTTCTTTCATGTAGTTAAAGGAAAGAAGCTGTTTCATTGAATTTCTTTAAAAAGTTTCTATGTGAAATAAGACGGGTTCATTTAACCGCTGCTTTACATACAACCAATAGATGTTTGAGTTTGACATTTCATGCTTTTTTCCCCATGTGCCAAGAAAATCCTTATTCAACAAGGATTTGGTGAGTGTCATTTTTTGTACGTATTCAACAATAAATCTGCTCCAGAGGTAATGGTTGATAAAATACATTGAAAGACTAATTCTGATTTCATAACAGGCGATGGTCGTTAACCCAGCTTTTATGAGGAATATTCATCAAGTGTGGCTGCAAAAGAAGGGCGCCTATCCCTCCACCGGCTTCATGGCTTTGGTTCTTGCCCTGCACATTTGTGACGAGGTAAGTTTATTTTTAAATGGAGTGAATGTAAATCACTGATGATTATCGAGTGGAAGCTAATTTCGATGAAGAAGTAATCTTGTGTCGTTTAGTGAGATTTATTAAAGCCTCTATCACGTCTTCTGATTCTGAAATTGCTTACCGATGGTTTCCAGGTCCATGTGTTTGGTTTTGGAGCAGACAGTGATGGAAACTGGAGTCATTACTGGGAAAAAGTCCCCAACAAAAAAATAAAAACTGGAGGACATCCTGGAAATGTTGAGTATGAAATGATCGAGGAGCTGGCAAGGCATCAAGTACTCAAATTCTATACAGGGTGGTAATGTTCGTTTCAGCATTTCACCGGTTGAAGACTTGACAATGGATTCCTTACCAAGAAAAACAAGACTAAGAAGCCTTCAAGAGACATCACTTCTCAGATCAACTGCTCTAACGGAACTAACGGAGACCGAACTGACTCTACATGTGTTGTGAGTCTTTGTGTGGATGTTGGTGTTTAAACTACACAAACTGCTTCAGAGACATTGACCCCAATTGGATTCCAATTCATTGTAGGATCCCAGCAAGACATGATTTTCTCTGCCTTTGTTTGGAATTCAAACAGGTTTATGGATTTACCATAAATAAGTCAAATGTGTTTCAAATTCAGTTCGATGCCTTCAAAGACAAAGCCAATATCTGAAGACTTTTCTTCAGGGCCGGCATAGGGACGGATGACCGAGACGCCCATCGCAGTCTGTCCAGTACCCAACAAAGCCTCCTTGCTGTCCACGAGGATGAACAGAGAGCAATGAGCTTCCCATGTTGGTCACATGGTCATATTCAGAGTTCTTAAGACACCTCATTTTGCAAACTGACATATACAGTATATATATACACGTCAGGGTATCTATATATATATATAGATATAGATATCCTGACGCCACCCCTCCTTCCCCCTCACTCTCACTCACTCACTCACTCACCCTCTCCCTCTCTTTGCCTTTCTGTCTATCCTTCTCTTTCTCTTCTTTGCTGTTTTCTTTCTCACTCACTTCTAGTCTTGCTCCATATCTCTCTCTCTCTTTCTCTCTCTCTCTCTCTCTCCCTCTGCTTTGCAAAGGCCTAGTTAACTATTTGTGTGCAGATGTTTCCCCAACCATGGAAGTTAACTTCTCCAATTTTTCATTGGATTTTGGACTATTGCAGAAAATAAGTGATAAACTAAACAAAATGTTCAGAAAAATTATCTTTGCAACACTTTTTTAACACCAAATGCAAAAATTTGCTAATGTTTGGCTATAAAATAACTAGTAAAATATGCAAAATATAGATGAATTTGTTTTTCCAGAAATATGCATGCGTCCATTTTCTCCCTGCTGTTGGTAACACTGACCGCAAATTGACTTGAATTCGTCAATTTTGTGATGCGAGTCATAACGACCAGTCAACACTAATGTGTACAAAATAAACACTGTAAAATGACACAAGCAGCCGTCACAGACCCACTCTCACCAGTTAAAAGTTCTGAATGTCTCTACTGAACCCTCTCATTGGATTCTTCAAAGGCTCTCACAATGAATCATGACATATGTCCTTTTTCTGCAAATGTGTATCTTTTCAACAAGGAAGTTGGGTGCACAAGAAATTTCTGACATTTTAATGGCTATTTGCATTTCAAATGTCAACCTGCTTGTGCAGTCTGCTCTTGGGAGTGTACGCACGCACGTGAGCATTGACTCCTTGCGGGTGCAGAGTGGTTACAGCTGGTAGTTTTGTATATGTGAGACATCATAGTGTTCATAGACCCTGAATTCAGGTTTTATCAAATTCTCTCGTCCCTTCTTTTGCATTCATTCATTTGTCTTTTGCAGCCATTTTTGCGTACAAAATGGCCCCACAACCTGTGGAGTTGTCACTATACGCCACTAATGAAAGACACTGAATTGTGGTGTGCTGCTCTACTTTCTCTGATTCTAAGCAAATAGTATTCATTTGGGCAAAGGAAGCGTGATGTCTCTGTAAACAAGTGTTTGAAAGGAGTTAAATTTCCATTTTAAGCAGTGTGAGGCGTGAAGTGTGTGTTGTCTGAGAATTACAAAGCACTGGAACTTTAACTATTGCCATTTAAAGTGCAAGTCTTGGCTTAAACACTGGATGTGTTTAATTAAAAAGCAGTCAGGAGCTCGTCACTGTAAAGTTGAAACGTTTTTTTTTTTTCTTTTGTAGTGAAGATGGTGACAAGCGGAGCCGGGCAGAAAAAGACATGAAAATGATCAGACAGGCTGCTTGTTCCTGTTTTATTAATCAATCAGGCAAACAATCAAGGGAACTTGTATGAGTAGGTGTCCGTTTAACTCAGGCATCACAGCACAGAATGCGTTTGCGAGGCTGATTGAACACTTGCCAGGTTGATTCAGCCTTGAATCAGGTCAACTATATTCATTAAAAACCAAAAGAAGGTAGACATCTTAACATCCAAACACTGTGGCAAATGATGGGTTTTTTGTGCGGCATGTGTGGTGCTTATACGCACACTTTGTTGGCTGAAAAAAAAAACACACTATATCCCTCTCATGATAAACTGACACTATTTCCACTCCTACAACATGCAGCTCTTGTCTGTTTAGTTCCAAATGTGCCAAGTTAAGTTATTAGCTGAGGGGATTATCAGGAATCAGGAAACATTTATTGCCAAAATATGTCAGATATACAAGGACTTGGCGGTTGGTGCGTAACAGTAGCCAGTATGACAATAGACGACAAGACAGCAGTGCACAAGTAATAAAATAAAAATGCTAATGCTATGGGCTAATAGAATAGACTATGGGTTAGTTTAAAATAAAAGAATAAAGTTAAAGTTAAAAATATTAAAAAATAAAAAAATAAAGTGCACTAGCGGACAGGAAGTGACAACCTTGTCATGTCTTCCCCTGTGATCGACTAATAGTTTCCACCTGTGTCCAATCACCTGCACCTCCCTTGTGTATTTAAGCCGTGTGTCTCCTGTGTCACTTGTCGCGTCACTGTCTATCGTCGTGGATGGTCATAGTTTCATGCCTATTGTTTTTCCCCTGGTTCCTGTGTGTTTTTGCCCCTTATACTTTTTATTTTGACTATTAAAGTTTTTTGTTTTCCGAGGCTCTCCCATTCCCGCTGTATTCCCATTCCGAGACTCATGACCCCGACGCCCCCAGTCCCCGCTCCGAGACTCCGGCTCCCCCCCTCCCATCCCATGGTCCTCTCCCTCCATCCCGTTGGTGATTTGAGAGCCGTCTGGGATCCGGCCCTTGAGGGGGGGCTATGGGGTGGGTTGTGGGGGGGGGGGGGTGAGCCGCAGACTGCGGATGTGTTCCGTGTCCCCCAGCCGACGACGACTGCGGACGTGTTCCGTGTCCCCGAGGCGGAGCCGACTACCCCGGGAGTTTTCCGTGTTCCCCAGGCGGAGCCGAATAACCCGGGAGTTTCCCGTGTCCCCGAGCCGCCGCCGAATACCCCGGAGTTTTCCCGTGTCCCCGAGCCGCCGCCGAATACCCCGGAGTTTTCCCGTGTCCCCGAGCCGCCGCCGAATACCCCGGAGTTTTCCCGTGTCCCCGAGCCGCCGCCGACTACCCCGGAGGTTTCCCGTGTCTCCGAGCCTGCCATTCCAGAGACGTTCCGTGCCCCGCAGTCGCCGCTCCGGAGCCAGCCAAATGACCGTCCGCAGGGCCGACCCCCGGAGGCTCCCCGGTCGTCTGGCCGCGGAGTTTCCCAGTTGGTCCGACCAACGTCTTGGGTTTCCCTCCCTCCCACCCCTTGTCCGCTCTGAGTGTGAGCCGTCTGGAATTCTGCCCTTGAGGGGGGGGTACTGTCACGGTGTGGTTCACTTCCTGTCGTATTTTGTAGTTTTCTGCCACTCGTGTCCCCGGGTAACTTCACTTCCTGCCTTGTCCTGTGATCGTCTAATAGTTTCCACCTGTGTCCAATCACCTGCACCTCCCTTGTGTATTTAAGCCGCGTGTCACTTGTCGCGTCATTGTCTATTGTCGTGGATGTTCATAGTTTCATGCCTGCGGTTTTTCCCCTGGTTCCTATGTGTTTTTGCCCCTTATCCTTTTGATTTTGCCTTTTGACTATTAAAGTCTTTTGTTTTCCGAGAAGTCTGCGTCTGAGTCCTGTCTCCCCCACGCACCCTTGACAACAAGTCCTGCAGGGACGGCAGATTGCAGCCGATCACCCTCTCTGCAGAGCGGATGACGCGCTGCAGCCTGCCCTTGTCCTTGGCTGTGGCTGCAGCGTACCAGACGGTAATGGAGGATACAAGTAGACCAATATACACTTAAAATATTAAATTATTAGTATTCCCTTTTGACCATTGGATCCCCCAAATGCTGGAAAGTGCTCCTTTAAATGTAACCGACATCCAGGACAACACTGAAGAGACAAAACTCTCACCCCAAGGAAGACAATAAAGGATATGCAAACCAGTCAGCTTTGATCAATGCCGCTGCACGCCACGTCATCTGGATGTTGAAGGTTACAGAGCCTGAAAAGGCAAAACAGAGACAATGTTTTAAGCAGCGTGCAGCCGTGGAGGCCGGTTGTGGTGCAGAGAGGTCAGAGGGGTGTTGTGTTGGCCACATCAACGCCGTTGCAGAAAAATAAGTCCAGGAGTTTCAGGACGTCAAGGGCTACTTTATATAAAAAGAAAAGCGCCCCTCTTTGATGTTCAGCCAACTTTAAAAGGCAAAAATGAAAAAATAAGCATTCCCCAGCCTCACCGTCATGACTCATTGGGGGAGATTAAAGAGAAACCTCTCTGTTCCTCCTTTGGATTTAACAACACACATTTATAAGCACACGTTTAGTTGCAAAGTCTTTGATCGGTCTAAAAATCGGGGGAGTCGGGGTGGGGGGGGGGGGGGGGGGCTGTATTTTTCTTCAGCAAATGTTTAGCGACAGAAGGAACCTTTACTTTTTCGTTTAGCCAAACAGTCTAGACACACTGTTCCACGGCCCGTCACAAGCTATCATTTAATTCCAGATTAAGCTGGCACGGTTCATAAATCAGCATTTATGAATGCGCCGTGTAGCTGCAAGCAGCCTTGTGAATGTGTAAATCATCAGGTTACTGAGAGGGCAAGTTTAATTCCCCGCTCGAGGGACACTCAGCGTCCCTACCTTACTGTGTCTTATTAACCAAACACTCACACGTCCTCCACGTTATATATCATTATATATCAAGTTGTACCCTTCAGACACAACATGAACCTTTTTTTGAGAGCTTTGTAGCCGAGGAAACAGGTTTTTTTTACAAACATTCCTTCAGATTCCAATGCAGCGTGTTTTTCTGGTGCAACTCGCTTTGTTTTATAACAAAGCACGA